TAGTCAGGTCTCTTATGGTCTTGATCGTTACAGAGCTTACAAAAGCACCAAACTTGGCATAGTTGTAGCTTATGGTAGTACTATCAATGTTAGAGGGGGAGCCCAACGTAAATTGTCCTTTAAGGGGAATTACGGAGGATTTACTTTTTCAAATCTCACGAATTGGGCTCCCTGTGGTTCTTATTTTAAATATATTCATTAAATATGTAAAAACGTTTTGAATAAATTTTAAAACAGCTATCTACCCATTAGAATGCATTATCTGTCATGGCTATCGATTACAACCCCAAATCTTAACAAAAAAGCTACTTTTCGGCATCTCTTTCAAACACTAGTGGGCAGTCCCACTCGGCCATTGGCTAAATCCAAGATGGCGGCCCCCGGACTTACCTACGAAACCTGTAAGTATTTTGCTCTTAAAAGGCCGTAATCTTGCTATTTTCGTATTGCAATATATATAAAACTTTGGTTTAACAGGTTTTCTTTGAATTTTAAGTTGTTTTTCGAATTAATTCGAAAAAATGGGCCTCAGTGCGCAAAAGACGTTCAAACAGCAGGTGAATAATTTAGTAGATGTCATGAAAAAGATGGGAAACCCTTTCCTGGATGACTTCCCCGAGTTGGTTACACTGGATAGCCATGATTGTGCACATGATGACGTAGCTAAGGCCGTGATGAACCTTGACAGCCTTGGTCAGACCAAGTATAAGGAATATGTCAAGGCAGTTATAGAGGACCGAAAGACCTCCATTCACGACACCATTAAGAAGAACAAGATTCCCCTTTTCAAGAAACAACCCCTGCGAGACAAATCTAAACAGACAAAGAGAATAGCTACACTGCAAAATAATGTTGCACTATTTGCACAACTGTACATCGCCATGCAGAGACGTAATGCTAACCTCGAGGAGTTCTTCAGCCATGAAGTTCAACCATTCCCTCCCTCCTTATCAGAATTCGGCAACCTTCGTCTACCAAGCGCTAAATCGGAACTCCTCAAGTGCGTTATTCCATCGACTCAGCCGAGCCTCCCACGCAATTTCACTGCAGCGTTCTAGACGGAGCTGTCATGGTCCACTGCCCTCCCGTAACTGGTTCGATCACCTTTGATGATTACACCCATAAAGTCTTCATCCCCCACCTAAGCAGCCAGAGAAGTAGAAGAGTGGACGTTGTCTGGGACAAATACATACATGTACCTAATAGTCTCAAGGAGTCCACCAGGGAGAAGAGAGGCAAAGGCGTTCGACGGAAAGTAGCTGGGGGTACTAAACTACCATCCAACTGGTTGTCATTCCTGCGTGACCCGTTAAACAAACAAGAGTTGTTTCAGTTCCTATCGTTGAAGGTTGCTGGACATAACTGGCCAGAAACGAAGACAATCCACGTTACATCAGGTAACATGCAACACATATGTCAGCTATGATACTCACACAAAATATGCTGTATGTGTAATACAAAAAAGGAAATTAACTAACAAATCTTTCGGCTAAGCGACCCCCCTCAGTGTTCTACTAAGACATATTGAAAAGTGGTAACAATCATGCTAATGTGTATAACCTATGTTGGAATCACACAAAAAATGTTAACTACCGAAATGATTTTTCTCCAGGTACTTCTGTGATTTCCATTGGCTCTGTAACCGCTATAACAGATTGTACTCACGAGGAGGCAGATACGAGGGTTGTGGTCCATATCCTTCACGCCATCCAAGTTGAAGAGGTGAA